CCCAGTTTCAGCTTCATAGCAGTAGGTTTTATTACCTGATTCCCATCTATCTCAACGTAGGGGATGGTATGGGTGAGAGGCCAGTGGTCTCCTTCCGCCTCAAAGCGCTGTCGTTTTAGAAGCGGACAGGTGAAGATGTTGAGTTCTTCAAGAGAGGGAGGCAAGCCTTCCTTTGGCAAGGATCGTAGCTTCGGCCACCTCCATATTCCCAACCATTGAAGAGAGTTTAGGTTTTGGAGGAGCTCTCTGGGTATTGATTCCAGATTTTCAACAGCGACCATATAAAGACTGGTTAAAGAAGAAGGCAGCACAATTTCCGGCGGCCATGTCCGACAACTAATTGACAAGTGTTGAAGAGAGGTAAGGTTGTGGAGGCCGCTTCCCGCCACCGTTGCCAAATGCCCATCTGGAACTGGGTTGGATAGTTTTTGAGTCGTATTTGGTAGTAGGAACTTGAGAATTGCATCGTCTAACGAAACCTTTGTTAAGTTTGGGGGTAAATCTAAAAGTAAACCCCCATTCTCACTCCCACCTGGAGACGGAATCAACTCTATGTTTGGACAATCCTCTATGTATAGCTCCTGAAGTGATTTCAACTGGGACATCGTAGTATTTGGGAAGGACTTGAGATTCTTACAACTCCATATTCTCAATACCTTGAGATTGGGGATGCATAAGCCCAGATTTGGGATGGACTCTAAAGCGTCACAATTGATAATGTTTAATCCAATGAGATTGCTGAGGCAATCAAGGCTGGGTAAGCCTTTCAACCTTTGGCAATTCCAAAATTGAATGGATCTAAGTCCTGTACATTGATGCAGCATTCCCTTTGAAATAGATTCCAACCCCTCGCAATTATGAACTTTAAATTCCTTGAGAGAAGCTGGCAGCTGACCCCTCAGAAAAGAATTTAGAGGTGGATGTTTCTCTATATATAAATATTCAAGATTGCTATTGTTGTCACCGTCATCTTGCATCAGTATTGCATCCGGTAAAGACTCAAGATTTTCACATCCTTCGATTGTCAACCGCTTAACTGTGATAGGCAAGGATAATGACCTGAGAGAAGGACAACCATGAAATTCTAACCCTTCAAGTCTCAACATGTCGGTGCTATTATTGTTGCTTCCGCCCATCTTCCTCATCATCAGATCAGGTAATAATGACTCCAATGCCTCACAACTATAGAGGACAAGATGTTTAAGATTCAAAGGCAAGAGGCCTTGTTCTTTCCCTGTCAACGACACAAGCAAAGGACAACTCCTAATTTCCATTTTCTCAAGGCGAGCAAGGTTTATTGTTTCTGATCCATCCTCCCACAAACAAGTAAGTTCTTTGCACCCTTCAATTTCAAGATTCTCAAGAGCTGTTAAGAACTGTGTAAAACACTTAGGCAAGCAAGACATCTCTGAAATATTCTCAATTCTCAATTGAGTGAGAGAGGTCAGATCAACCATGCTCTTCAAAAGAATAACACTGCAGTCTCCAATATGAAGGGTTTTAAGTGACACAAGACTTGTGGTACATGAGCATCTTAACTCTGGGCATCCATTTATCACAAGATTCACCAGAGAAGAAAGCTGGCTGGGTAATTGTCCTGTCAACTTCGGACAATTTTCAATCTCAAGATGGCCAAGACAAGGGAATTCACCTCCATTTCTAGTTGGAGAAATCCATTCCTTCCAATTTAACATGTTTCGAAAAACCAACTTCTCCAATGGTGAGAAAGTTCCATTCCCATAAAACTCTGGACCCACTGTTTCTATTCCCTCTATGCCTTCTATAATCAATTCTTTGAGAACAGGTGATAGCCCAAGTGATGGGGACAAAGTGCATCTCTTGCAATCTCCAAGCTTCAAATAGGATAAATTAGAAAAAATTGGATCACCAATCCAGGAAGGGAATTCCTGGCCACCATAAGAAACAATTGTGAGACTCTTCAAATTTGAATGAGGTTTTAACCATTTGAGGATCTGCATTTCTTCATTGGTTTTATTCCTCGTATTACCAAAATCAGAAGTCCACTCCAAATGTAACTCATCAAGACCATCAATATTCTTTAGATCAGCCTCCATAGCATCTTGAACATTCAAAACATTCTCTAGATTCAGGATAGATAGTTTTCCTTTAAGTTGTAAGAAGTTTTTCAAGTTAGATAATTTCATCAATCTATTTTCCTTCCCCACAATCAACTTTGACAATGTTAAGAGATTCTTGAGATTACTTATTTCTGATGGCATCTCTTTCAAGGAACTCGTACCTTCAATATCTAGATGATGGAGGTAAACTAAGTTCCCAATTGTCACAGGTAACTTCAAAATTTTCCAGCAGTTAAAGAGCAACAGTGTCTGTAATTGAAGGAGGAAACCCACGGACTCAGGTAGTCTTTCAATTTCAGTTTTTGACAAATTAAGGTATCTCAAATGTATTAAATCTCCAACTGAATCTGGCAACTTATTTATCTTATAACACTCAAGAGACAGTACCCTCAAGCATCTTAATTTTGGCAGCCAATCATGCACCACTGTATTTGATATATTACACCATCTCTTTGAGCCAACTGGAATGAATGTTCGCAAACACTTCATGACATTCAAGACTTCAAATTTCTTAGAGGTGTCACGGTAACCACGGATGCAAGACAAATGACGAACCTTTTCATACTTCACTTTTGATTTTTTATCAACCTCAAACTTATGTTCAAGAGTGAAGCACGATTCTCCAGCAACAAATTGAGCCAAATCATGTATGAGATCATGCATCAAAAACCGTGACTCATTCCCACTAGATCGCTGCAAAAAAGCTCTTGAAACTAACTCGTCAAAATATTGATGACCAGCTTCTATTGATTGTTGCTGTAAAACCCCACT